CCCCCCCCCAGCGTACGAACTAATATCTTCACAGGGAATTATCGAAATCATTATCAAAATCGTTTTACTTCGAAATTTATATGCGAAAACTTCTTTTATTCTGCTTAATTACATTCCATTAATTCACTGCATTGTCCGTCAATGTTGATTCCAGGAAGGTGACATGCCTCTGAAGGAACTCCTAGCAAAATACTACGGTCGCACATCTTCAGACTCCAACAGTTCCGACCGCCTCCCCCTTGCCCGAGAGGAGGATCCAGATCCCGTTCTCCAGTCATCGGAAAAAATCGAGAATGAGGGTGAGGAGTTCGAGGACGAGGAGGAAGAGGAATACGAGGACGATGACTCTCAGCCCAGTTTACGTCAATTCTATACAGAGCTGGTTAAAGAAAAGGAAGCAGAGCGTTTAGTAACGACCGAAAAATCTTCAGGGGGTGTGGCACCTCGAATGGAAGCCCCAAGGGAAGGAATTCCAGTAAATAATCCAGCAGGAGCTGACGTCGAGATTAATAACGAGAATAATCCAGCACTTGTTGTTGACGAGGACATAAATTACGAAGATGAAGAGGATGACGATGACAGTGAAGACAGTGAGAGTACTGGAGTTCCAGGGGCTACAGTTCCAGGAGTGAGTGATACTGCGGGCGTTGGAGGGACTGGAAGTGGTGGTGGTGGATCCTCAAGACTCCTTAGAAGTGTCTCACGTCCTCAAAGTGAAGAAGAAGACGACGATTGCGATTACAGTCCTGACGAGGAGGAGTGGAAGAAGACGATTATGGTTGGTAGTGATTACCAAGCTACAATTCCTGAAGGCCTCTGTCGTTACGATGACGCGCTGCCTTATGAAAACGAAGATAAAATTCTCTGGAATCCCAGCTTTATACCTGAGACGGAAACCGAGGAATTTCTTGAACGTGCACAGTTGCCGAATAACAAAAGCAGCTCGTTGCCAGTTGGGGCCCATGTAAGGGATGATGAACAAGCTCTCTATCTTCTCCTGCAGTGTGGATATAATTTGGAGGAGGCTTTGCGGAGGAGGAGAATGAATGTGCTCCCTCCTATTGACGCTATCAGCCTCTGGTCTGAGGAAGAGTGTCATAATTTTGAATCTGGACTGAGAACTTATGGGAAAGATTTTCATCTTATTCAAAAGAACAAGGTATAAATTGTTTTGCAGTGAAAAATATTAATTAATTTCTACTTGGAGTCTTTACAAATATCGTGGAAATTGGCAGGTGGAGGCAGTAATGTCAGAGGATATTTTCTAGTGTATTTGGCGAATTAGAAGAGAGGTCTCCTGATACTTTTCTCAGAAACCACTAGTTTCAGATATAGGCATGAAAAAATATATGCGAGATTTCCAATTAGTTTAATATAAATTTCCACAAAATAGGGTAAATGTCTTTGGAACTAGTGATTTCAGAGGAAAACATCTGAAAGCCTTTTTATCAGCTACCTTGCATTTCTGCGTAGCGTTTTCATTTTGAAAAATATTTGCGATAGAATTAAAAGTATTTATTCAAAATAGCACAAGCAACCACTCCTGAAATTTTAAAATTTTTGCAACTGTTAGGTACAGTTCTCTTTTTCACCTTGATACAAATTCCAATTCACTAGCCCAAGTTGATTATTCAGAAATAAAAGCAACAATATGCACCGGATAGTAGGTGTTAGCATGGGACTTAAAATTTTAAATATACTTTTTCACACTGCTATCTATTTTTATTTTCATTTTTGGTGCTTTCCAGTAGGAGAATAGGGAACTTACATGTTTTTTTTCGTTTTTTTCCTCAAATATATGCCCCCAAGAACTCATATTTGACAAAGGAACACGAAAAAAAGTTTAATAATTATTTCTTTCTTTCTAATAATTGCATTTTTTAAACGTTCTAAAAATATCCTTGTGTCGTCAACTCACCGGAGGCCGGAATTTTCATCTGGCGCCATCAAGCGGTTTAGTACAACTGCTGAAATCTGAGAAAATACTCGGTATAGTCGAGCACTAAAGTTAGTAAACAGAATACATAGAATGCAAGTTCAGGGGAGTGATTTTACGCGTTTTTCTTCAACTAAAAATTATTATTTTTCTCCCGCTTGGTGGCGCTTATGAACCGCAAAATGACCTGCGGAGGGGGACGACAATTGCACGAATGGTAGACTAAAATGGCAGGAATTAAAATTTAGCCATTCATGTAATCGTTATCCTCCTGCACGGGACATTTTGCGGTTCAGAAGCGCTTCCAAACGGGAGAAAAATGATAATCTTTAGTTGGAGAAAAACGCGCAAAATCGTTCCCCAGGCTATACTATATGCAATGTGCGTAAATATACGTAAATATAAGTAAATATGCGTAAATATATGCATTTGGCTCCAAAATGTCAGAAAAACCGGATCAAGTGATGAAAGTTGCTTATAAATATTGTTTTATATTAGGACGTAAAAATACAACAGTGAAAATTATACAACCACTACTTTCGACACTTTGACAGAGATTTAGACCCATAAAATCTATCGACGCAGTCACGTCTGCCGTCGGTAAATTCCCCAAGCTCGCCTTTTGAAAATCGTTTTTCAGCACATGTCCTTAGAAAATTCCCTATAAATTCCTACAAAAATAAAATCGTTTTCCACCCTATAGGGAAGAAAACATATTTTAGGTCTTGCCGACGCTTGACCCTTCGAAGATTACCTTACGTATCCTTTGCATGTGTGTATACCCAGATCTAACCTAAATCTCCCAACCAGCGCCATCCATCGAGGATAAAGGGTACTACTAGGATGTTACCTGTGCCGGGCAAGCAACTCCGCAGGCGCGGAGGCTCCTCAGTAAAATCTCCGAATGACAGCAAGCCCTTACTCGGGTCAAGCCTCGGCAAGATCTAAAATATACGTTTTCTTCCCTACGGGGTGGAAAACGATCCTATTTTATGTCTGTGCCTTCGGCTTGACCCTTCGGAGATATATTTATAATCTGCCAGCACTTGAAAGTGTAATGTGACTCCAAAGCTGAATGGGATGAAGAGTGAAGAAAGCTGCAAACGAGCCTTTCATCTCTCCGCTGACAGACGTATGAGCAATTTGATCCATTTGACCATGTCAAAAATCGAATCGTCTGAACTGGTGATCTGCCAGCCAGACTGACGAGAGACAGCCTTGTCTATTTTTGAGACAAAGCTCTGGCCAAAAAAAAATTTCATTCTCACCAATACTACAAACATCTGGATCAACGGAGAGAAGTGTAAGATCATGGACTCGCCTTCCAGAGGCCAGCAGTAATTGTGGAGCCACAAATCGAGGAATTTGGAAAATACTATTTTCATCTGGAGGATAAAGCGACATCCACTCCGTTAAAGTCTCCACATTTCAGATGGTTTTCTTAGCTGGTTTCGTCTGTCTGGCTCTTTGGATGCCAATTGCTTTTAATAAGGATTTGATCAAAGGGTCCGCTCACATCCTGCCCGACTCATTGAGTAGATAACCGACTTCTGGGTGAGAATCGAACTGAATGCCAGGTTTCTGTCATAAAATAAAAAACTCAAATACGAAGCCAGATGCTGGGCTTCGGGTTTATCAGAGGTAACGCCTTTAGATTTGCACCACGATAGCCACTGCTTCCAAATTGAGGAGTAGGTTTTCTAAGAAGAATCCCTCCAGCCTGCGCTCAGAAGATTGATCTCAGGTTCAGTTAAGCCTTCTATCCGATTGCCCCACCCCGTACCTCCCAAACATCTAAATAGATGTCCTTGACATTTTGTGGGGGAAGGTCCGTTGACAGATCCATTAAGTGAACCTCCAAGTTCAACAGTTGAAATGGGGGAGCTAGATTCCTGTTTTTCAGGTCTCCCCTCCAAAACGTCTTTTCCCATCGGAACAATTAGCATGAATATTCCCCATGCTGTATTCAGGTGTTGAAGAACTCTGGGGATCAGCGGAGGTAGTGGAAATATCCAGGCCAACTTCGCCGACCAAGGTCTGCTGAGGGCGTTTATGAATGATGCTTCCTGATCGTTTGCTTCCAGAGAAATATACTGGGGGACTACCTTGGATCGGGCTGTGGCGAAGGGGTCGATCTCCGGGGTTCCAACCGAGATTCCTGGAGAGTGTGTCGGCCAGAGTGTTGCAACTCCCGGGGAGGAAGAGGGGACTAGATGTATGTCGTACTGATCCAAAAGTAACAAGAGGTATTTGACCAGGTTTAGGAGAACTAGAGAGCGTGTGCCCCCTTGGTTCCTTATATATGCTACGACCGTCTTGTTGTCTGATTGTAGCATGATCGACCTGCCCTGAAGCTGACCCTTATACATCTGAATCGCTAACAGGACTGTGTGTAGTTCTTTGCGATTGATGTGCCACTCTCTCTGATCTAAGGTCCAAGAGCCTGTTGAAAGCACCCCGTCCAACTGGAAGCCCCAAGCGATTTGTGAGGCATCGGTTGAGAAGATGTCCAGTTCTGGTTGGAAGATGGGTCGAATACGGTGGATGTTGGTTGACCACCATACGCAATCCATGCGGCTCAATGCGAGGAGAGGGAACCTGGTTTTTAGAGACGACTTTGATAACTGGTGCGTACCTCGTCGAAGTTGTCGAGAGAAGAGCCTTCCCAGAGGAATGACAATCGAGGCGAAATTTAACATTCCTAGGAGAGATGCTGCTGACTCCCAACTCCAGGACTCCGATTTTAACAATTTCCCCAGGAGGTTTGAGATCCGTTTCTTCTTCCCGTTGGGAAGAATCATCTTGTTGAGGTTCGTGTCCCAGATGATGCCTAAGAATTCGATTCTGTGTGCTAAGATGATGATGGAGCAGCTAAAATTGATGATTGCAGCTAAAAGTTGGTTTTGAAGTACCTGAACGTCCTGATGGGCCAATAGAAAGTCGTCCAGATACACCAAGATTTTCATTTCTTTCTGATGAAGAAAATGCGCCAACCAATTGGTGATTCTGGAGAACGTCACTGGAGCTGTAAAGAGGCCGAATGGAAGACAGGTTATGTTGTACAGCTGGCCCATGTATGATAGACAGAGGTACCTTCGATGGGATTGTTTTATTGGCACGTGCAGATAAGCTTGTGACAGATCTATTTTGGCTAGATAGTCGTTCCTCTGGAGGAATGCAGGCACTCTGCGTTGATTTGTGAAATCAACGCAGAGGCGAAATTTCGGAGGGCATAGGTAATCGTTCAGGCAGCGAAGATTGAAAATTTGACGCAATTTTCCGTCCGGTTTTGGAATTAGAAACATTGGTAATATAAAACTTGAGTCCCAAGACGCCTTCTCTAACACCCCTTGGTGTAGTATGGACCTGATTTCTTTTGACATTTGTAGAGACCTTTTGGTGGAGTTGTAATGTACAGTAGAAAGGTCGAGTAATATGGACTCAATCTCCGCAGTTTAAGATACTTTAGTTTATTTATTTCTAACTAAAGAGTAACGGTTGACTTCGATACAAAAAGTGAGTTCGAATGATTAATTCGGTAATGAACTTCGTCGATAATCTTGACAGTGAACTAATGAACTAAAAATGAACTCCTGAGTCCAGTGTGTTCTCGGTTTTATTGGAAACCGTGGCACACTTGCCTCGATTCGTATTACAAAACGGATTCATGTTGTAATACGATGCTGACTCCTAATTTCTTCATAATTGAATTATTTCAATAATATTTGTTACAATATCTGAGACACAACATCCCTCCCGGCCAGAGAAGAAAATTCATATTTTTTGAATTATTTCGCCACTGGCTGTACGATAACATTCAATACAATAATATATAATAATATATACATTTTACTAGGGGAAATCCCAAATCCAATACAAGTCCAAGACAAGATATTTTTCTCCTGCCAACACTGAGCCGACATTGGTACCAAGGTAGTCAAGGTCGCCTCTATCAGGTCGGCGTGACCTTTCTCAACATATGGCCTCGAAGTCCAAAAACTCCTAGATCAAGCCTTCACCTATTATTTTTGATTTTTCTTTCCTACGGTCGGAGTGTTGCTTCGGGCCCCTCTGTCCATTCTCTAAGCGCTGAGCGCGTTCGTCGACACCAACAGCAGAGCAGTAGTACTGTGATGACGACAATTAATGCTGTCGCACTAAAGAGCATTGATGCTGGATGCTGGAAGAATTCTGCAATACCATAGAACGTCGTATTCGCATTTAGACGTTCTTTTTCTCGTCTCAGTTCTGCTTGTAGTCGTTGCAACTCCTTGACGTTCCATACTACACTACGGAGATGGACATCTTTAAAATTCAGTTGTCCCTTCTTCAGGTAGTTGCTCGTGCTCTCATCCAGGGTCAGGTTCATCTTTAGATGGACGTGTAAGTCGAGACGTACTCCTGACGATTTTCGCCCTCTAATAGTGAAATCTGTGGCAACAACTTCGCACTGGCTGTCAATTCGGAGAATCCCAGTTTTCTCCAGGGTACTCCTATTCTCCTCCTGCCCACATTTGACGCTGACCTCCTCAGGTCGTGGCGCTGCATATAACCATGCATTTTCCGAGCTCAGGTGAATACCAGACGTCTCAATGTCAAGTGTTTCGTAACACATGAATCACGAATTTTTGCGGGGTCAACGTACAGGTGTATCTCCCATGGGCTATATGGCCGTATCGCTTGTGTCGGCAAGATTTCCGTGCAGATATACTGTCCGTTAAGCCTCTTACAATTGTCCAA